ATATAGTTTTTTGGCCATATCACCACGTTCCCTACATTCTTTATTTGCTAGGGCAAAAACTACTAAAGTTGGATCCAGATACCAAGTATGTCTGAGAATAGAGTTAGCAACAGCTCGAGAGCCAAGTAGATTCCATTCCTCAAACCTTTTCATTTGCCAATAAGCTTTTATATCCTAATAAATAACATTAATTAACATTTTGAATCACTTTAACCAATATTGAGCTTTCTAACTTATTAATAAAATATTAAAAGGCTGTATACCTGTGTTGGTGCCAAAGAACTTAACTCTGCTTTTAGAAACCACTCTGTATAGAAAAGGCTTATGAACAAAGCCATACCAGTTATTTCTTCCTTATGTTTGTCAGTTAGGTTTTGGATTTCATTCATTAAAAGATACAACTTTAAATAGTATAAACCTTTTCCCATAAATCTTGAATGGTGAATTGGTCCCGGTAAATGAAATTTAAATCTATTTGATGATAAAACCATTAAAGTAAGTTCAGCTAGCTCGTGGTATTCTTTTCTTATATTTCTGTCCTAAAATGTTTTTGATACCTTTTAAATTAGTAATAAATGTTACTTTTTAAAAGTTAGAAAGTTAGAATAGGAATCAAATTAATAAAAATAAGAATATCACCTTTTTGAAGATCTTCAAACTGATCACATTATTACAAAACTGAACAGCAGCTAATTTTTGATTATATATCCATGTTCCAGGTGGTATTATTATTCTTTTCAGTTCCTTAGTTTCAGCATCTATACTGTTCCAGTTTTGTTTTAAAACTTCAAATAGTTTGTTTTCTGGACCAGAAGTTTCGCTGCTTGGGTAAATCTTCCAGAAATGGGCTATGTGTCGTTCAATTACATGATGTCGACATGCAATCAACAACAATGGACGTTGAACTTGTTGAATTAATTTCATGCAAGTACCTTGCCATCTTCCTGTATTTGCTGAAGTTGTGTCGAAACAGAGACATTTGACCTTATCTTTTAATCCAAAATACTCCATCAATTCCACTATAGCTTGCTTTTGATTAACCCCTGAACTAGAATCTATTGGAGGAATGCCAAGTAGTTCTGTTTTTTTATCAATTCTTAGCAAAACTGCAATTCTATCTTTTTTAAATTGCTTTCTCTCTGTTAGTTCATTAACTATTTTTCCGTCAAAGTGTATAGTCATTAGTGAATCTGATAATATTACAATGTTTTTTATGTATTCTCTTATTTCTTTTGCCCTGGCAGATATTATGTTCTCCGCAGCTCTATAAGATGTGGATTTAGAACAATTAAAGTTTGCTACAGAACCACCAGACATAACAATAACACTACTAATCAATGCTGTATGTTGATGGGGTGTTATACCTTCTCCCACTGCTGTATGAGCGGTTGACTGAAGGATATTTTTAGGAAGCAGAACAGAATTTTGATCATTAGGATGCTCATTAAAATCAAAGTCAATATCTGTTTCTTTACCTAATTCATCGCTAGTATAACTAGCAGAACTTAGATAATCAGAATCATTCTTATTTAATTCTACTGACGGATTTTTACTGAACTTTGATGTGCTTCTTTTACTTCTGATTACAGAATATTCATATCTTTTATCTCTACCTCCAAGACTTCCTTTTCTTTCATCCAGTTGGTCTTTTAAGAAAGCAATATCTTCTTCCTTGTCTTTCAATTTTCTCATTTTATCTTTTAATATTTCCTCAAACATAACATTAGGATGTTTTCCAATCCAAAATACTTTACTCATTTGCTCTTCAAATAAATGTCTTTTTTTTATTTCAGCAGGATTTGTTCTGTATCTTTGATCTTTTAATTTCATCCATTCCTTCAACAATTTCTCAATTTTAATCCTGTAAAAATATTATATAATAATACAATTATGGATTAAACATGGACTAAAATGATTTAGAACTTATTGAAAAGATTACCTTAACTTTTGTATTGTAAGCACTCTAAATCCACCAAGTATCCAAGGAACCATTAGTTTGGACAGTATGCAGCAGTCAGACTGATCAACTGGACAATTAGGTATAAAAGAAGAACTTTTATTCGGACAACCTACGAGGAACCTCAGTTTTGCTTCACTCTTTGACTTTCGTAGAAAGAGATAATATTGAACTATCTCTTTAGCAGTTGCAAATTTTTTAGCTGGAAGTTTTTCGATTAACTTTTTGACTAAAAATATTTTATCCAATCTAATACTTCTAACTTTTTTTTTTGGTGTCATTTTATTAATTTTTTGAATATATAATCTAAAAATAAAAATTTAATGTAAAATACATTTCAAGAAAACATATTAATTACTGAAAAAATTTAAATCTTCATTTTAAAAATGTAAAACTATGTTCAATGTAAAAATGTTTTTTTTTGTTAAATATTTATGAATTTTAGGGTTTTTTGAAGCAATTTTTATAAATTTTTAATATTTTTTTGAGAATAGAGCCCATGTTAATTAGATTAAATAAGTCTTTACAAACATAAATATATATTAAAAAAAAAAAAAAATTAATGTCAAGACTTCCTACAAACAGTTTTAAAAATGGTACGAAATGCCCTAAAAATTGCCCCTTTTACCCCCTGAAGGAACCCTTAGAGTTTTCAAAAAAAAAAAAAAAAAAAATTTTTAGTACTAAATCATGGTCTGGGCAGATGATAAGCTAGGGCTCTTTTATATATATATATATATATATATATATATATATATATATATATATATATATATATATATATATAAAGAAGTACGTTATGGCTGCAATAAACGAGGTATTATTTATAACCTTTTTAAAGATAAAACAACTTTTAATTAAAAAGCTTATGTTTTCTTTAAAAAACCAACAAAAATATATACAATCCAACTTTCTCTTTTAGTTCAGTTTACTATAATTAGAAATTCAACTACTCCAATGGCAAACAGCACCAATCTATTTCTTGCTTATTATTTTCTCTAAGATACTGGTTCGCTTTGGAAAAATGTTTACATCCGAAAAATCCACGATGAGCAGATAGAGGAGAAGGATGCATACCAGATAGCACTAAATGCGATGACTAAAACAAAGATACATTGCATGAACACGCATCAAGGTTTAGAAAAATAAATATGTTTTTTAAATATGGCTTTAAACATGTTGTTTAAAAAATTTTTTCTTATCAAAATAATGCTTTTTTTTTTTGCACTAAAATTACAAGTTTTTGCACTAAAATTACAAAAACAAAATTATATTTCACTATTTTTCGTAACGAATTTTCTGTGGATAATATACTTTGGTTGGGAAATTTTTGGGATTATGCATTTTTAGAAAGGCAAAAAAGTCTATTGAATCTAATGATTTAATTAATGTAAATTAATTACTTGTCACCGACAATCGGTTTTTTTTTAAAAAAAAAAGTTCGCAGGTTGACCATAAAAAGCAGAAACAAATAATTATTTAAATAACTATCTTTTCTGTTTAAACATATTTGTATTATAAGTAGACGAATATTATTTGAAACCTAATACTCAGTTGTTCGGATAATTTTTTTATGTTAGTGTTAATGTGGCTCATTTTTACGTTCTCCAAATTTCATTATTAGTCTTAATTACTTGAATAAAACAAAACACGAAAGGAGTCGTCTATAAATTACGTCACGCAATTTTCAACCGTTTTTGACCTCCCTCGTCAAAGCATTGTAACACTTAAGTAACGAGTCCCGAATGAGTTATCACAAAATCATTAACCCCCTCCTCTAGAACGTCACGTAATTTATGGACGACCCCAAACTTTCATTGGATTGGTTCTGTCTTTTAATTTGTTTGGTTTAAAACTTCAAGTAAACAAACAAACGCAAAAGATGCATATCGATACAAAGCATGCATTATTGATACACCCGATAAAAGTTTGTTCTAATAAGCATATGATATTTTTCATGCAATTAATCCTTTACATAAATTTCACTGGCTTTAAATAAAAACAATATTATACAACAAGTTAAATCTTGTTAAAAGTATATATTAAGATAATAATAAGAATGATAATAATACATATGAAAATTTACCACACATAAAGAAGTTTGTTTTGCAATGATTTCCTAACGCTTTGATTTTCAATGCAATGAAATAGTTGTCAAAAATCACAGAAAATTATTAATAACAGGCATTTATCTGATGATTAAAAATATGATACGAATAATAACTGCTTTTAAAACTCTTTTTTATGAGATGATGTAGCCTGAATTACAGGACAACTAGTTAATATAAAATAAAAAATTAATTATATTAAGTTAGCCGTTATATGTAGAAAACTAGGAATTAAAAATATTTTACCCAATTAAAAAAAACTCCATACTTTATAATTGACGTTTAGGTTTTGCTTCAAAAGCAACTTGATTTTAACCTTTTGACAACTACTTGTTTTAAAACTGCGCTATTGTTTGACAACACAAAAACGCTTTTAAATTTTTTTTTTAGAGTTTAAAAAAAGTTTAAGAGAAAATGTTTGTTCCAAAGTTTAGGTACATATGTGAAGGTGTTTATTGCAAATTTTCAAAATTATTTTAGGACATCCAAAAAAGTTATGACCTTTATTCTATTTTTAATAGAATCTAGAAAAAACCATAATAATAAAAATTCATACTTTTCATAAATCCGATTAAAATTATCATTCTTCACAAATATTTAGTATAATGATGCATTATAGCAGTTTATAAGAAAAAAATAAACAAAACAAAAAAAATGTCTGAAAACTTAACACATTTTTTGAATCACAATGATTGAATCACAACATTAAAACACAATGAAATGCATAAAAAAAAATGTTACAAACTTCAGTAAAAATTCTTTCAGTTGCTATTTATTCTTCTTATTCTTTACATCATTAATAACATGCAATTACAGTCTTTTAGTTTGGTGCTGTATTCCAAATAAATATATTTTTTGAAGGCACCAGATTCGATTAGCCTAATAAAGTCGTTCACTATAAAAGCCAAGTCTTGTATTTGTGGGTTTATTTTACTGGTAATGCTTTTTGGACTGATTTTCAAGAAATTGGGTTATGTGCTGGATAGCAACATGTACTTTTGGAGTGATTGAAATTTCAAAATCTATGTATGTAATTTTAATAGATGGCACCTTTGTAGGGTAAGGTGGGGCAAGAAGCCCACCATAAGCAATTTCGTCTTTTTTTTACTGATCCAATAAACGTATCTAGAAATTTATGTTACCATTATTTCAGATACATAATAAACTTAAGTATCCAAAGTTATTTTCTTAATGGCTACTCAAGTTTTAATGGAAATATGCTTTTTATAAACTGCTATAGAGTGGGCCTTTTGCCCCATTGCTGGAGCAAAACGCCCCTACCCTGGGCCTTTTACCCCAAACGTTAACAGCTTGAAATATTCCTTTTTTACAATAAAAATTTATTGCAACAATACACTTTTTACTAGTCACAATATATTTTTGTGTAAAAATGTCCAACAAAAGTTTTAGTAGAACACTTAGCACCATAATATTAGCAAGTAGCACCATATATGCTATCATATGACAATGGCAAACAGCACCGTAAAATTAATAGAGCTAAAAAGAGCTAAAAATTTATAGACTAAAAAGATAGCTATAAAAACTAATTTATAGAGCTGAAAAACACAGCTAAAAGCTAATTCATAGAGCTTAAAAGTTGCTAAAAAAAACTAATTCATAGAGCTAAAAAGATATCTAAAAAAATAATTCATAACCCAAAAAGACAGCTAAAAAACTAATTCATACAGCTAAAAAGACAGCTAAAAACCTACAGTAAGACTAGTTGAATTGATTATGCCTATTGGCAGTGAAAGCAGACAGCAGTGTCATCAGGACCACAGCCGTCGTGGTACCAGTTGAGACATTCTGGGCATTGCTGCCAGTCATCAATGGGTGGTTCGTTAAATCTTTTACCACACATGCAACATGGCGTATCATCACTGTTAGTAACAGAACCTACACATCTTCGTTCTTTTGACCCTTTTCTTATCACGTTAGCATTCGATGCGTTACTTTTGATTGTCCTTTTTGATTTTGTTCTCGCATATTGCTTCCTTTTCCCGGTTTCTTTGTCATCTCCACTTTTCGTTCTCTTGGATTTGTCTGCGATTACATCGATTTCGTCTTCATCATTTTCCTCATTATTATTTTCAACTACTACTTGCTTGTTCTGTTTTGTCTTCTTTGCATTTTCTTCAATTAACATTGCTTTATAAGGACTAGAAGTTATTACAGTTGCTGCTTCGGTTTTTCGTTTGCGACTGCGTACATTCTTTATCCTTGGAATAGGGCTTAGTTCTGATATAATCTGCAATGCTTCGGATAAACCAGGATGATCAGCTGTTTTATCTAGTTGATTTTCATCGGACTCATTGCTATCTCCTTTTGCAATCCTATCAGTCTCCATCACATTAACCGATGCTTCATCATCCACCGCATTGCCGGCTTCTTCATTTGTATTCGTAAGTTCACTTGTTTCGTTTCTAGCTAATAATGCTCTTTTCGTTATTTGGATGTGCTTAACAAGATCTTGTTCAATTTCAATAGAAAAAGTATTCACATGATTTCCTAATATATTGCTCCCAACTTGTCTTACTTTGCCCTGCAAATGCCTTCTCAATGTCTTCCTTGAAACTCCAAATCTGTTTTCAGCTTTACGCAAAGACATACCATTTTTTACTGAATCTAAAGCCCGTTGTAAACCTTCTGCTCCATAACTTCCTCTTTTTGTCTTCCTTTTGTAATTTCTAACCATATCTATAAATAAAATAAAGTTAAAATTTGAACATTCTACTTAAATAATGCAAGGGGTAAAAAGCTCAGGATGGGCCTTTTGCCCCATTAACAAACTGGGCTTTTTGCCCCAAAATGGTCGGTGCAAAAGTTGATAAAAACATATTATTCTATGGTACAATGAACGTTATGTAAATAATCAATACATATTTTGTACGCTTACAAATACATAAACTCATTTAAATAATCAACTAAGTTTAACAATAATCTACAAAAAATTTTTAAAATTACGCAAAAAATCAAAATGTCCTATTCTTATTACCTGTCAAGTCTTCAATATTCTGTTAAAAATTATATTTCTACTAAAAGTTCACCAAAATTCGCTCGCAACACTGTTACACATTTATCATTCATAATACAAAACAATAATTATAATATTTTAACTAGGTTCTTTATAACTGCAGGATGGGCCTTTTACCCCACCTGGGCCTCTTGCCCCACCCTACCCTACTTGGAATCATTACAAAATTTTTACAAATTATAAAAATATTTTACCACAACAAGATTTCACAACTTTATTGAAAGAAAAGCAGCAATTATTTTTTATTTTTATTTTTGTTTCTTGAAATCTAACTTTAGCACTTGCTAGTAATAATTCAAGCAAGCCAATTTTATTCAAGAGTTTATGACATTTATTACCATTGAATTCCCCTCAATGCATTGGAGGCCTTTAAATGCCCGATTTACTTGACTAATTAATGGTCAAATAGATTAGGAAGATAGTGTTCAAGTGATCAAAAAGAAATCAAGAATAAGTGAATCATCTGGAAGATCAATTGAAAGGAGGTTGAGCTGCGGAGAGCTTTGTTTTTTTTTATGTGAATAAACTACAAGAGCTACTTGATAGTTTTGGCCCTTCAAATCATCCCAAGTGTTCGTAAATGTCCATTAACCTGGCTTTCAAAAATCTTTTTTTGAAGTTTTACACCAGGAGCATGGATATGTGGATGCAGCAGAGCTTATTCAGAGAAATATGTTAACCATTTTCATGTCTACAGCTGCGGTGAAAGCAATTTTTTCAAAAGCAAGCATATCTAAATTTGTTTTAAATTCACAGAATGAACAATAGCCAAAATTATGAGTTTTTTTACACCAAAATCTTGAAAAGATCGAGAACAAGCCTCTTTATAATAGCAAACTTTTTGGTTATTTTGGCAATTATGTTTATGCAAAATTACTATTATAATTCTAAGATATATATATATATATATATATATATATATATATATATATATATATATATATATATACATATAATAAGATAAGATATATATATATATATATATATATATATATATATATATATATATATATAAATATATATATATATATATATATATATATATATATATATATATATATATATATATATATATATATATATATATATATATATATATATATATATATATATATATTATTTATATAGAAATGTAATGTTGTCAAATGGATGCAATTTTAAATTTCCCCCAAAAATCTTTTTGAATTTTGACTTAAGTCTTCACATGTTTTTTTCAAATGTTTTTGTTACTGATACCACTTCATTTCTGGGTTCTATAAGATATAAGGTATTATTACAGGGTTTCCACTATTAAAAGTAATGATTTTAAGGAGATTTCTCTAATATTAAAGGAGATTTGGTTGCACACATCATCATCATCTTAATTCATTTTTCTTGTTTTTTTTAACATATAGGTTCTCTAGAAACTCTTGTTTTTCAAAAGCAGCTTTTTTTAACACATTAAATTTTGATATGTCATCTTTAAGGTCATTTAAATATAAAAGGAATCATTAAATAATAACATTACATTTAGTGATATAAACTAAAAAATTATCCATATTCAAAGCAAATTCAAAAAAATTCAAAAGCATATTCAAAAAAACTATCTATATTCAAACCTAAGGCTATCCTATTTTTAGTGCGGCATTCAATTTCATTAAATAACTTCTTCAACTCCTCTCAATTTTAGATAATGCTTGTCAAATTATATTTTCTCTGTTTTTTCTACAGCCTACTTTTGATTATTGATCACTAAAATACTTCTTTCTTGCTTGTTTGCAAGATCTGTTGTTGTTTTAACTTCATGTGCCAAGAACCCATGAATGTGAGGTAATGTTGGATAGAACGTAAAGATATGATATAGATGGATAGGATATATTGTCATTAATCATACGTTGTTGCTGCTTAATCTTTGTTGAATTTAAGCAATGTTTATGCAATAAAAAAAGGAACATTTTGAAAATGTTCTCTAGATTTACATACATCTTTAAATCAGTATATTTCCACAAAAAGGAGTCCAAACAATCCTTATCTTTATCAAAAGTGAAAAATACCTCTTTGCTATCGATGAACACAGTTTTACAGAACCTGGAATATCCTTTCTTAGCTAAATCACCAACAGAAGCTTTAATTTTCTAGTTAGTAACAAGTTTCATCAATAGTTCGTCAAATCAATATACACACTTTTCTGAAAATTTAACCATAAACAATAGGGTAATACAAATCAGACAATGAGCAACCAGTGCTAACAAAAGACTTTTTTCAATGATATGGATACACATTGAGACAAGGAAATCACATATTTCACTAACAAACTTGTAAACTTGAACATTTATAATCTTTCCCCTTCTCTTAAGATGTAATATGGAATGCATTAAGACTGTCAAAATATCCAAACACCAAATTAATACCAAGTTAATAGTTTTTCCCTTTAATCTATATATTTATAAGCAATTAAAAAAGAGGGTTGATTAAATAATAAGACTCCTCCCTATAGCATGGTGTTCACTTGTTGAGAAAACATAATAAAATTATTGATATACATATATGTATGATATAAATGATATACATATTATACATATTTCTGTAGGCTGATATATATATATATATATATATATATATATATATATATATATATATATATATATATATATATATATATATATATATATATATATATATATATATACAAATATATCAGCTTACAGAAATATGTATGATATGTATATCATACATATCAACCTTACATATACCAGCAATCACCTAACTGTCGACCTAGAAACACCAAACTGTCGAACTAGGAGAGTTTGAGATTGGCAAAAAATAGCTGACCTTGTCTCTATTTTATGATAACAAATTTTAAATGTACCAAATCTTTTTTTGCTTAACTCTAAAAGTTTAAGCTTGACATCATCATTTTTCCAAATTATATTTACATTCATTAAAGTTTTTTTTGAGAAAAACATTCATTAAAGTTTTTTTTGAGAAAAAAAAGACAGGTAAGAAAATTTTTATAACACATTATGTACAAAAATTGACATTTTATTTAATTTTATAAAAATTTTTTTTGTGATTATCAAAAGGTCTGGGAGAAAGCACCAAAGGAAACACTTATGTACTTTGATACCTTGATGAAGATTTCTTAAACATTACAAAAAAATTTAGTTTAAAGAGGGAATTCTCCTTAAACTACAACCATTTTATTGCGTCCTTTGTTTTTATTTCAAAAAAAATACTCGGCAACTCCTAAATTTAAAAAAATACACAACAAATCAAAACTTTATTTTGCTAATTAAAGTCAAATTTTTACTTTGACAAACCACTAACTCTGAACCCTTTAAACGCAATATTTAGCTAAAGTTTTAAAAATTGTACATTTAGCCCAAAACCTTTAGCATTAGCTATTAACTTTTTAAAATGAAATCAGAATAAATTTGCTTTTTATTCTAGCCAATATATACCACGAATGGTTACATAGCCCACCCACTAAATGTTATAATTGTCTTTATGTCACATAATCTTCTGTGACAGTCTTTCCACAAAGTCCTTTAAATATTAAAAAAATTTTTGGTTGAAATAAAATGAAAGAAAAAAAATTGTTAACTATAAACAATTTTAACTCATTTTTTAATTGGAAAAAAAAAACCTTATTAATTTTGTATTTTTTAAAATGGCAGATTTGCTCAAAATGTTTTGAGCAAATATCCCCATTTAAAAAACACTGTATCGTATTTAAAATTTAAGACTAAGGATATTTTACCTTTGTTCTAAAAAAACTTTCAAATAATATAGTAGTATGTTAACTATAATATATTGTGATGTATTCTTACAGATTAAAACAAGTTTCAAAACTTACTTTATTAATGAAACTTCCTTTTTTCTGAGCATATCCTCCCCACAGTATAAAAACTACTCCTTTTAGATTATCATTGATCCAATGAATTATAGCATCTGTAAATTTTTCCCAACCCTAAAAAATGAATTAAAAATGTTTTTAAAATAAATTTTTGAAAAAATTTAAGATTACACATTAAAACTATTAACAAAGAATGTTTTGTAAAAATGTAATCCTGAAAATAAAGCAAAAACTAGAAATCAAAAAAAAGCATTTATGAGTTTTGAATTATTATTAATGCTGTTATATAAAAATTTTAAAAATTGTTGCACCTTTATCTTAATCCCACAAACTTCAATTGACTTGATAAAATCTCAAGAATTAGTAAATAAAGCTTTTAAACTTATTATTACCTTATCTTTATGTGAATTAGCAAGACCCTTTTCCACAGTGAGCACAGCATTTAATAGTAGAACACCTAAAAAAAAAAAGCACTTAATATATATTAGGCTATAAAAGCATAAAGTAGAAAACCATTAGCAAAGTATTTTCAATTAAAACATCAGATTTTTTTTTTTTTAAATCTAGATTACGTAGAAAGAGTTTAGATAATATTAATTTAAAAATAAGTATTTGTCTCTCATAATATAAAAAAAAACTATTCAAATGTTATGCTGTTATAAACTATGAAATTAAACTATCAAAATAATACATTGTGTAAAAAACTATAAAAATTTATAATTTTTTTATAACAATTCCCAGGAAAATTAATCAGAAGTATTATAAAACATACATTTGAGCAACAATGTTGAGTTTTAAATTTTTTTCAAGTTATTTAATTTTCAATATATTGATAAAAGCATCTTGAAAAACAAGTTAAACTGAGTAATAATTTAATACTTTGATAAATGGTAAAAATAAAGCAATATTGTTCAACAACTATTATTTAAGATTAAAGTTCCTCCTGCAGATAAAGACATTACAAAATACAAGCATTGGTTTTAAATGATACAATAGGAGCTGAATAAATTGCATCATCATTTATGCATTTAAAAAGATCACCAAGCGGTAGCATGTGGCTGAGCAAAGCAACCAATGACAAGTGTATAGCAAATGTCCTATATCAAAAATACAAATTAGTTTGGTTAAAAATCCTAAAATCCAAGTAATGATCTGTGTTGAGCTCAATATCAATTTTTATGATTAAAAAACGAGAAATCAGAATCTACTTTGAACAAGTTAATCAGGGTCTACTTTAAACAGGTTATTCAGGATCTACTTTAAAAAAGTTAATCAAGATTTACTCTAAAAAACCTCCTAGCCATAAAATATTACATTCATGGCTGGCTAAAATGGTTTCATGGCTGACTAATCAACAAAAGCTGGCTTGCATTTATTTTTGTGGCTGGCTAGCTGACTAATTTTTATGGCTGGCTAGTTCACTTCATTTCATATTATAATAAGAAACGCTGGTTATTTTTTAACATCTGTTAATAGAAACTAACTGATAAGTGTTTAATAAACATTTAAAAAAGACAACATTTTAAAATTTAATTGCCTAATCACAACTGTGAATATAATGCAAAGTAAATTTATATCAAGATGTCTATTAAAAATCTCTCAATTTAAAAAATACAACTATATGGTAACTATCATGGATAAACAGACCAACTTTAGGGTAACTATCATGGATAAAACAAATTGCATTCATTCAATATGGAGCTAAAGTTGATCTCTTTCCATTCAGTATGATACCAGTTGTACTAAAAAAGCATTCTACAGGTACACTTCCAATTCTCAATGCAAGATATATCAGGAACAATAAAAGTTTTTTCATAATATTGATTAGTGATTGTAATAAAAATAAAATAGTAAAAATAAAAATTTTACAAAAAAAAAAAAAAAATCATTATTTATTATCCATAAATAGATTCTCCTATACTTTTATTTTGCCCGTAATATTTTATGTTTCCTCTTTTTCTTTGTAACAAATCTTAAATTAAAGTTGAAGATAAAAATAGTTTAAACCTTTGTTATGGATGCTGAAATGGAAAATTTTTTAGCATTCTGCTTTTAAAACTGGTTAATTGGCTGATTGGTTGATTGGCTGGTGATTTGTCATGAATGCTTAGATAAAGATTGATTTCCGCTGGCAAGCCAGTATTTATTATAATCTGGCAATCCTTCCAAACTTTGAAATGATTTTTTTTATATATAAAATTGATACTTTTTAGAATAAAATTATTGGTTTTGGACTGCAAGTGACACTTTAAATTTACTATTTGAGATTTATTGCATAACCAAATATATAACAATAACAAAAAAATGGGATATTATAAACTAATTTAACAATAAAATGATATAAATAATTTTACTGCTGTATGTCACTACTTCTTTTTAATAGTAAGCTAAGAAAATTTCATGGCTGGCTAAATAAATTGAAAATTAGCAATGGCTAGCAACTAATGGTGGCGGCTCGCAAGTCTTTAGCTCAAAAAACGTTTTTTAACAAAAATAGGTGTTTTTTGTTGAAATTATAAATAAAGTATCTCTATTTAACATATTTAATCTGCCATATGTCTATGATCATATACCCAAAAGGATTATTGAAACTAGCTGTAAACATTAATGCAGCTATTTACAGGCTGCACACCCTCAATCATTTTTTTGTTCATTTGGGCAGACAGGGTACTCAGAAGAAGACAAGGTACTCAGAAGATAAGATAAAAAGATCAGAATTAAGTCAATAAAAGTTTTGAGAACTTTTTTGATATTTTAATCGTAATGTTTTGTGATAAAAAGTTATAACTTTTGTTAACAAAAGCTGAAGTTTATACTTACCTTGTTTGGCCCAACCAAGTAGAAACCCATGATTTGGAGTTTTAAATCCTGGTATATCATTTGATAGCTCTTTGTACATATTAACGAGACTAAAAAAACATTGGTCAGAACTCATTGTTCAATTACTCAGAATATTTTGTAACTTATTATTAGTTATGTTTACATTAAAAAACCTTTTTACTTTAAAAAAATGCTAAACAATGACTTTTTTAAAAAAATAGTGATATGCGTAAAAACCTCCTTAACACTGCAAATAATGATTTACCTTGGCGGTGGTGGAACTCCTGGCTTGACACTGAAACATAACCCTAAATAATGCAGGATGATGTAAAAATAATAAAAATTAACACAACTTTTGTTGCTAAATTTTTGTTCATTTTATAGCTAATTAGAAGAAATATACATTAGAATAATTTACTGAATGTTTAGTATATACAAACAGTAAAACAATCTTTTTTTTTTTAACTATTGATAAAATTAATCAATAATTTAATCAATAATTAAAAAAAAATTTAATTAACTAGATTGACAAAACTTCTAGAAAAATAGGTAGATAATAAAGTCAACAAAAAAGTGATAAGAAACCTGCAGATGAGTAGAGATATTTGGATAAGATGGTGAATAGAAACCAGTAGATGAGATTGTGGATAAAAATATGTGGATAGGATACTATATAGAAATCAGGAGATGAGAAAGTGGATAGAGATCTATAGATAAAATGGTAGATAGAAATCAGTAGTTAAGATAATGAATAAAAAAAATGTTGATAGGATAGTTGATAATTCCATTGTTGTAGAGTGTAATAATGTTGTAAATCAATGCTTAAGAGTACATATTAAGAACTATTGTTGAAAAGTAAAAAAATTTGAAAACCATTTGTGTTTAAATCTATTGCAAAAATATTTTAGAAAAAAAAAACATAAAACATATAAAAACTACTGGCAAATTAATGATTAGATTCAAATTGAGTTTTGCGAAAATATGGATAGTGATTCATGAAATAAGAACAACAATAAAATAACTTTATTATTTTATTGTTGTTTATATTTATTGGAGGGCAAAAATTCTCATTTATTGGAGGGCAAAAATTCTATCATCAACAAAATACTAAAAAAATTTCAATTTTTGATGAGAATCAATAAACTTTTAAAATTTTACCGTGAGCTTGTCCTGGGCCATGATATGGGTCTTGTCCTAATATAACAACTTTTGTTTCATTAATATTAAAATGCTGAGTCCAACTGTATACTTCATTTTCTAAAGTAATGGAATAATAATACTGCATATTTGCTTTCAGAGCTTTAAATTTTTATAGTTATATAAAAATTTATAAAATTAGAAAAAGTAAAATATAAAATTTAATTTGATACTAAATTTTTTTGTATTTGTATGGTTTTCTTACCTGGATGGTTTCTTACTTTATAATAAAAATTTCTTACCTGGAGGATATATAACTTTAGTTTTTCTTTGTTCAGCAACAAACTGTTGCAACTATAATAATAACATTATGATGTGTAAAAAAAATCATTATGTTAGAACATTTACAAACTTTGTAAAGATTTTATAAATAAAAAAACATTGTGTAAATGTTTTGTTGACTATAAAACAGGTTACAGTAATCCTAGCATATGTTTATAGTTTAAACTGCAGTAGTGGTGTAGTGGTAGAGCGCTTGCTTCATAAGTGAGAGGTTTGGAGTTTGATTCCCACCATGTTCCTGGTAGTACTGCGCTCAACTTGTTTCTCCGCGCAGCGACCTTGTTCGTCAAGGTTCATGTTTCAGAGTTATTGAGTTGAGAGAGGGTTATAACCACAAGTAGCCTCCTTATCTGTAGTGGCCTTCTTGGCCTTGGGGAGGTGAATTACAAAAAAAAAAAAAAAAGAAAAAAAAAAAAGTTGAATTTTAAAATTATAAAAATTTAAAAAAAGTACTAAAAACCTATTGATCATTACTTAATAAAAGAAAATTATGTTTTAATTTTAAATCCAAATACAATTCTGGTTACTGTAAAAAGAGGAGAAGGAAAAAGAAAGTTATGAATAGGAGATTATGTGGTTTAGCAAACACTTGCTTAAAAAAAAACTGCATTTTTTTAAAAAAAAAACATACATTCTTAAAATAAGTCTTCTGAAACTCAATGTTAATTACATCCTGCCAACCTTCAGAAATTTTAACTTCTTGAAAAAGCTTTAATCTTAACTTTTTTTCTGCTTCTTTTTTATGCAATTCCATTCTTTGTTTTTGTTCAGGTGATATACAGTTTTTTATTGGAAGCGTATTTTCATCGTCTTTTTTATATGTACTATATTGCTCCAGTTTAACTTTTTTACTTTTTATAAAACTATCTGTAAATAACTCTCGCTGTTGTTGCTGATGCAATCCTTGTTGTGGTGTACTTTGTTTAGCATTAAAAAAAAAACTAGTAATGGAAGGTTGTTTGGTGTGAAGCACTTTCCTAGAAGCCATTTTTAAATATGTTCTTCAAATTTTAGACTGTAGATCAAACATAATAGATTAAATAACTTGAATACTGAATTCAAACATGTGTGGGAAATAACAATATGCATTTCAAAACTGGTCAAATTTTTGATATTAATTCATTTTGTATACCTTTACAGCTCATTTGTTGGCTAGTAGTGGGTCAAGTATTTAGCATAGCATAAGTTTTTATAAACAATTGTTTATAAAACAATAGCTATCTTTTTTAAAATATTGTTTTTTTTTATAAGCATTGTTTTTGAGCTTAATAAAACAAGAAGCCACAAAGAAATTGACTCTGATTTTGAGTGCTTTAAATCAACAAAAAAATAATACAAAAAAGTTTTTTAAACATAAACAAAGCTCAGTACTTCTACTTCACAAAAAAAACATAAACAAAAACTTTTCTAATAAATTATTATCAAAATGTTCTCAAAAAAAAAAAAAAAAAAAAAAATCAACCATGAAATAACTTTGCGCGTATACTTAGAAAATACTGTATCATCATTTAGACTAATTTCTAAACTAGCTAAAGTCAGTTAGTCAAATAAATCTCCAGTTTTCAAATAGTTATAATAAGTTGCAATGGGAACTTATCGGCTCACACAAAGTAAGCCATCCGATAAGCCACTGTAGCAACTGTGCTGGAGGTTGTCCCAGCCGATTCTTGAATGCATTGACTGTTTCTGATTTCACTGTATCGTCCGATAGGGAATTCCAACAGTTCACAATTCTGTAAGTGAAGAAATTGTTTTGCAGTGCGCTGTTACGGACTAAATCTTTGCTCAGTTGTCCTCTACAACCAGCTCTTGGTTCTCTTGTGATTGTTGGTACACACCATTTTACTTAGTCGATGGGTTGAGTGTTGATAGGAAAATATTATAAGGTTTCTGACTTGTGATTGATGGATCAGAAGTCAGAATCTGGAAGAAAGAAAAGGTTTTAGAATAAAAAGATGGCCTCAAAATTTAGTTACTCGTATTTACAGAACCCTTGACTTTCTGATTATGAATAAGCAAAAAGATAAAAAAATGCGTGCTCTTTAGTGGAAAATGTCACGGGTTTTTAAAGTATTCACTCTTGTAGAAAGATAAAATATCCAAATTGTATCAATAAACAGCAAAATAGTATCAAAAACGCAAGCCAGAAATTGTACAACAACATTTTGACTAGGTTTGATGGAATTGTCTTATTTGGCCTGACCTGGCGAGTTGTCTCTATGCTAAAGCAACAATGAATTGGTACCAAGAAAATGGCATGGGAATATTTTCGGAATATCATATCTAAAGATTACAACCCATTAAACTGTTTACAGATTTACCCTAAAGAAAAATTCAGGGTTATTTGTGAGTTTAGGTTTTGAAGTTTATGTTGTGTCTTATAATATAATTATAAAACACAACAATTGTATATAATTAATTATAATTAATTAATTAATATATTAATAAGACACAACATAAAGTTAACATAGAGTTCGAGCTGAAGTAAAATTTGTAATAAAATTTCTGATAACACTGTACAAAAATTTAAACTTAATTAATCAAAACTTGATTAAACCAAAAGTTTGTTTATTGTTGTTTCCATGAGTTGGTTTCATGTTGCTTGTTGTTTGTTGTTGTTTCCATGAGTTTGTTTCATGTTGCTTGTAGTTTATTGTTGTTTCCATGAGTTTGTTTCAGCAAATGCATGTTAAAATATAAAATAATTAGAATACTGATATGTGTAAAAATAACTTTAATAAATATTTTTCTTGTAAATTTAACACTCAAAAGAGTCAAATTTTTGTGGCATTTATGTTTTCTACAACATATATAAAATTTAATCTATCCCTAATGTAAAACATCAATTTAGGAATTAGGTAGAACAACCAGTTATAATCAAAACTATAAAATAAAGATATAGTGACTATATAATAATGCAATTAATAAACCATGTAACAACCATTTTAAAAATGTTTGACTAAATTAAATTAATTAAACTAAATTAAAATAAATTAAACACAGGAATAAACAAAAAGCACAACTTATGATATAACTAAATCTTAAAAAAGCCTTTGATAAATTTATATATTTACTTTTTACATTTATTAACTATATACAAATATGTTAACACTTGTTACAATAATCCGTAAATAAAGTGTAACTCTACAATATTAATATCTACATTAAAATAAATATACTAAAATTAAAAAAAAATACTAAAAAATGCAAAATAAATAGCAATTTAATGAGTTTAAAATAAAAACAGTATTGTGTTTATATTTCATTTTTATTTTGATTCATTAGAAAAAATGAATTATAATAATGAATAAAAAAAAGGCCAAAATTATAATAACGAAAAATAAATAAAAAAATTAACGACAATCATGAAATAATAATAGTTAATAGTAGGAATTATTTTATTATTTTTCCTTGAAATATTAGCTAAACATAATCATTAACTATTTATTATCCTTCTTTTCAAGATTTGCATGTTTCTCAATGTATCTAAAAAGCAAAAACCGAAAAAATAAAAATAGAGCTCCAGGTAAATTTAAATAAATAATCACATTAAACATCAATACTGACAATAACCATCATTATGTCAATAAAATATTTGAAATAAAAAATAATTATAAACACATATTAAATTATTTGCATATCATAATTTTTTTCATATATTTCTTTAATAAATAATCTTAATTCTTCTTCTTATTTTTTAGCTTCAATCTTAATCTTGCCTTATATGGCCAGCATTTCCATACTGAAAAAAAAATTTTTTTTTTTTTAAAAACATAAAAAAATTCTTGAATAATCTCTGCAAACCTAAACTTACTAACATTACCTAAAAACAAATCTGAAAAAAAAACTTTACCATTATCATACTCGCTGCTACTGAAAACAAATAAATACATCTCAAATTTAGGTAAAAGATTATTAGATCTGTCCAACAACATCTGCCGAGTAGTCCAATATCATCAGTACACTTTTGTTTAAGACCATCTGAATTTTTTTTTTACTCTAACAACACCTGTCCAATTTCATCTGAAAATTCAATGACCCCCAAAAACATCTTTAGAAAGATGTAACTACATTTGCTAATTCTTTTCAAGTCCAATAACACCTGGAAGAATTATCTTCAGATGTAGTTACATCTGCAAAAATCCTATATGTAACTACATCTAGTTAAAATAATGCACTATAAGTTAATTTTTTTTCCGGATGTAATTACATCAGCTGATTGCAGCTGCCGTTTAACATTTACTTAGTTACATCTGTAAAGTTAACCTTTTTCTCAAAAACTATTAGAGAGGAGGGGATCTAAAATTCTAAATTTTTTGTTAAATCATTGATCCTTAATTAATTTTTTTACAAAAGTTTAAAAAAACAATTCAGCTTTTGCTTTTTTTTTTTTTTTTTTTTTGTGGCTTTTACTTCTATTTTTAACATTTATTAAATGTATTAAAATTTATTAGAAGGGTCAATTTTTTTTTGAAAATGAATTGAAACCCACAGTCTACAAAAACGGTTGGCTGTATTGAGCCATCTGGATTGAGGACTTATTTCAAGGTTTATTAAATTCAGGTAACACTCTAGATCTTATTGCTGTTACAATTCTGTATTCATAAGTCTGATCAGCCGACAAATCATTAAGTATTTTGTCTGCCAAAACCATCAAGTGGTGCACTTAAAGTTACTTTTTCAAAGTTTTTGCTTACATGTTTGCATTAGAGGGACCTCAGCATAATTTATTCCAATTGAATTCCGTGTGTAAAAACATATTACCAATAGAAGCAAGCAAGATATATAAGAGCACAAGAAATCAGTAGGAGTTTTAAGAGCACAAACAATGCTTAATATAACTTAGTTGGACTCACAAATTTTTAATATAATTTATGAACTACTAATTGTTAATTATATGTAAATTTTAATAATTTTAGATATCAGTATTATATAATATATATATATATATATATATATATATATATATATATATATATATATATATATATATATATATATATATATATATATATATATATATATATATATATATATATATATATATATATATATATATATATATATATATATGTATATATATATACACTGTAAAATGCATTAGTATATAGTATATTGCTTTTCAAAAGTGTTTGACTTATTCGTAGTTTTAGAAAAGACAGTACAACATACAATAACATTCACTGTCTAAAATATGAAAAAATCAACTCATTTTTCTAAAAGCAACCTTCACAAAAGCCCCCATTATGTGTTTATTTTTTGACTTTTTAACAAAATATACTTCAATTTAGTTCAACATAGTTTATATTGAGTTTATCAAATAATTAAAATTTTTTTTTTTTAATTTATAAATTTTTCTCTTAAATTATTCATGTTTTAGTTGTTGAAAACTATGCGTTTCCCCCAACAAGACATTTTATTTTTATTTTTTCAGATTCAGGTTCCTTTAAAGTTTTATAAAAACAGAAAAAAAAACACACTGTACCATAAAATTTGTTGTTTAAAATATGTAAAAAGTGCCTGATTTTTGTAAAAATACCCATAACAAAAACTCCGCTTCTGTACTTATTTCTATGACTTTTTGAACCAAATAATCAATTTTCTTAAAATTCAACATAACAATCATTGAGTTAATCAAAAAAAATTTTTAATTATAGTTTTAGTTATTTTTCCGTTCAAAACAACACTGACCCACCCAGCAAGACATTATTTTTAAAAGTTTTTTTTGCAGATTTGGAATCTCCATAAAATTCTTCACCAAATGCAACCTTGCTTTTATATAAAATCAAATATATATCATCAATCAGTATATATCATTAAATATATCAAATATATCATCAAATATATTAAAAAACCTAAAAACTAGAAGTCTTTTAACACTTTCTTTGTGTATAAAATTACGTAACTTTGTGATTTAAATTTTGATCAGATAAATTTGAATTCAAGTAAATAAAAACGCGTTTAAATAAAAATTCCTTTAATTAAAAAATAAGTTTTTAATTTAATGTCTCCTTACTTAAAGTTTAAAACCTTTACATTTCAAACTTTTTTTCAAACTTTTCTTTATTTTTCTGACTGATGAGTGGAAAAGCTTATAAAACAAATATACTACAAAAACCTATACCTAAACTTGTATGCATACAATATAATTTGGATATCCTGAAAAATTATAATTTGAAAAAAATATCCTGAATTCCGAAAATATCGGATGATATAGATAAAACTACATCTGATGTAGTTACACAAATGTCATTACACTTTGATAATTAAAAAGATAGTACATCTGTAAAATCTCCAGATGTAGTTGCACAAATGTTGTTATACTTAGATAATTGAAAAGATGCAACTAGATCTGTATTATTCATTTATTTTTTGCACAGATGTTATTAGACACCAATGAAATTTCAGATGTTGTTGGGCAGATATCTTTATTGTATTTACAGATGTTGTTGGGCAGATGTTATCATACATCATTATATTTACAGATGTTGTTGGACAGATGTTATTAGACATGATAATAACTGATGTTGTTACCCTGACGCCAAATTTATACCTAAAATTAATAAGTTTATTGCTAAACTTTTACAAGTTCAAATCAAACCTAACTTAATAGGTGTAAGTTAGGTCAAGATAACAACCATGCTGCTAATAACATATAATCCAGTGTAACCTGCCACATTTCCTGCTGCCTCTTGTTCCTAATAATTTAAATCATATTGCCCAAAATGTAAAAACATATAAAGCAAATTCATTTTATTCCTTTTTTTTCAAATATGCATAATGTAGGTATATAGATTTATGTTCATCTTCTTTTACTGAACACCACTGTAAGCCATTGATATTTGAAAAAATATCACATTCAGCAGCTGGTTAGTTGTCAAATTAATTTGATATCACAAATATTTTTGAAAATTTGAAACATTAACTACATCAAGTTTTTATCAATCAAATCATTTTTTATCCATCAAATTTTTTATTTGATCATATTTTATCTATCAAATCATACTTTTTCCAAGCTTAATAAAACTTGCTCTGTGTAAAACAGCAGTTTCATTTTAAATGCAAGAGATAATAAATATTATACTCTGTTAATAGCCAACTACATTGCATATACTTACACATTTACATGCCAACATTGTAAGTTATTTTCCAATTCACTCAATTTTGCTCCTTAATGTGATTTCTCTCTGACCCTAACTGCTGTTTTTAATCTTTTTCATTCTTAAAATTTTAAGAAAATTTTATTAAGTGTCATGACTAAAGGCAAGTCTCTCATGTATTAAACCACCATTATTACCTCTCCCAAGAATAAGTTTTTTTCAAACTTATCTCTTGAAACTAATTACCACAAACTTAACGACATTCCAGACAGACAGGACAATCTATTGTTAGATATTTAAAACACTCTGATTTCTTTTGCTGAAGATAATTCTCACTTCAACTTTCCATAATTCATTAAACTATTAAACGATTCCTTTCTAATTGTAACTTTAAATTTGTCATTGATTGAAAAGACCTACTTTCATTTCAAGTAATTTCTGGGATACAACAAGGTTCCATCTTTAGTCCCATATTATTTCTTATCTATATAAATGATCTTTCTAACAACTTTACCTTCAAAATGGCGCTATTTGCTGATGATAGATCAATATACTCTATTAAAAAAAAGATCATCACATAATTGCTTAGAAAAAGCAGACAATATTGAATGCTATCTCTCCTGTTAAAGTTTTAGACAAGCAGCAGCTGGTAGACTTTAACCAAGCAGCTGATAGATTTTAACCGACAAACTGAGTTGTTTATCATCAAAATTGTTTTGATTGTTTCATTATCAAAATAATATTGATAAACAGCAACACTCTCAATGAGTCCTCTACTTTACATCCTGGATTATCTTTCATTACTGACCTCTCATATATCCAATCTATGGCAAAGTTAGTGTATCCTTAGTCACTCTTTGTAATAACTACCATTTTCTTACTGCTGATTCAACTATTACCGTTGTTGAATCTTTTATATAACCTTGTACAATATACTTCTTTCAAATTTGGTCTGGATCTTTTAATAATGCCCTTTCTCTTTTTAATATGGTCCAAAAACACATTTTAAATAAAGGTGAACTTCTCTAGCTGACAAAATCTTAATTGAATTCTTTTCTGCCGACACATTTTTCTAACCATCTCCTAAATTATTGAAGTCTTTTGTCTAACTTCCAATTTCAATAATGATTTCCTGCAGCATTGTTGTTTTTAACATGACTTTTTTTTTCTCTCTTTAATTTACCAAAACAAATCCTTTAATTATTAGAAATACAAAATATACATAGTTATGTTTACTACATAAACTATAAATTAAAAAAAAAAAAAAAAAAAAGTCAATTTCTAAGATATTTTAGGACTTTCAGACTCTGGTGGGGAGGGGGGAATGCACACCCCAATACCCCCTCCCCACTGGATTCATCACTGTCTAGATTAATATTCATTTGGGACAGGGGTACCAAATTTAGGAAGAATTATCAAATTTTCAAAAAAAGTTAACAAAAAAGAGAATAAAATTTGACTAATTTTTTATTTTTTGCCATGGAACATCAAATTAAAGTAAAAATGTAAAAAAGATTTAAAAAAAAAAAAAAAAAAACTACTGAAAATAATTCTTCCTAAATTTGTTTGAAATTTGGTACCCCTGCCCCAAATCATTTTTAAACAAATTTAAAATCTATCAATTCCTGGATTTGATTTGATTGAGCAGCAACTAATTATAGAGAAACACCTAGGTGTATATTTACAACAGAAACTGTGATTCAATCAAATAATCAAAATAATTTAATATTTTAACAGCTTTATTAAAGTAATAAATTTGAAATTTTTAAACTAATATATGTTAATAGAATATATAACTATATTATATTAACAATTTAGCAATATAATTATATTATATTAACAATTTGACAATTAATAAATCAAAATTTAATGATATTATAGAGGGCTATTTTTTATGCAATTTAATCATAAAACAATAAAGAAGAAGAAACATATATACCTTTCCCATCTGCTATGTCTCAATGTTGTAAAATCATCTACGTCTAAAATTTGAAGTAGGTAATTTGACAAATGTAGAAGTTCACAATCCGTACTTCGATTCTGATGAGCATTTTGAAATGGACGAATCTTTTAAAATGAAGTCATTATAAATATAAACAAATTTGAGTAGCACAAAAAATAAAATTAAAAAAAGATAAAGCTTGAAGAAAGATGACTTCAAATGCACTGCATAAATAAAGTTTACAACAATTTACAACAATTTACAACTAATATATTCTTATCAATAGAATATCAAAATATAGAAATATTATAAATTTTGCAACATTTAACTGTATTTTAGATACATTAATTTGTTTTAGAAATTCAACAGTTTTTCAACAACAATGCAGGCATATTGGCAGATTGCATAAAAGAAATTATAAGGATGTAAGCAGTTTGTTGAGGTTGACAAAAGTGGTAAAATAATGAGATGACCAATAATCAGCCTTTAGCTAGTGTTTTTTGGCATACTCAAAATTAATAAGCAGAAGCACCTGCTACACACTCATCTTTAAAATAATTTAGAAATTTCTCTGTCATTAATAGTAAAATAATAACCCAAGCTACTGCTAAAACTTATTAGACAACAATCATTACAATAGAAACAATTGTTGAAGTTTTGTTGCAAATATTTGCAGGATTTCAGTTAGTAACAGGCTAATTAGGTCATGGATATAAGTACATGATATAAATCTGTATGCAAATGGATAAATGAACTTGCAGAAAAAAGGAAAGCTAAAACAGTTAGCTATAATTTATGTTTAAAAAAATGGGGTAAGTTGTGAATAGAAAATTAAAAAACATATAAGAAACTTTTTATGCACAAAGTGATCTAAATAATTACAATTTATTAATTTAAAATATATACCTTGAGACCAGATGATGGATTCATAAGAAAGTTTCTTCTCAAATCATCAAACATAATTGTATTCTTACAAGAATACTGTGGATACATACCCCATATAACTCCAAGAGGTTTTGTCTAAATAAAAGAAGCATCAGAAACTTGATAAAAATACAAAAATGATCAAACAAAACAAAAACAAAACAAAAATAAGTCAAAACTAATTAACCTTATGAATTAAAAAAAAAATTAAACTCTACCTCAATCAACCCATATTTTTCAGTATGGATTGTAATCATTGCACCACTATCCATAAAAAACATCAGTTTGTAATTATCGTTGTTCATCATTCCCAGTTCCTATAAACAGATTTTTTGATTTTGAAACTCTATTTGAAAAGATGCTTTGATCTCCCAGCAGCATTTTTAGAGCATTTGTAAGCTGTGTTTGGTTTGTTATTTATTTTGCTAAAAGTTATTTTTGGTTATAACTTTTTTTTAATTTTTGTTTATTTTTTAGGTGTTATTTTTTTCAATTAAAGCACTGAATCCAAATAACGAGTAACAATGACACTTAAGAATTCATTTTAATAACAAATTAGAATATCCATCTGTTCCTCTTGAAGTATACCATTCATAGACTCAACATCGGAGACAACAAAAAATGTTAATAGCTGAACTTCCTTAATTAACACATTTTAAAAATAAGGATACACTTCAAAGTTTATTTTACAACTTTGTTATATGTAAACATAACTTTAATCAACTCACTTAAACCAGTGCATGATCGAAAGTATGCAACAACAACTTTTAAAGTCCACAAAATTTCTGCATTAAGAGTGCCTGTCTGCAATGTACGATTCAATATAATCTTAGAAGGTGCTTTAAATGAACAACTTCTTTCTATTGGAAGTGGTTTCTCAAAAAAGATACCAATGCTTCTAGTTTCTTCTACGTTTTTCAGATGTTTCTTACCCAACCCAATATTAGAACTTCACACATAAGTGACCATACAAAAATAACACTTATTTAACAATAAATGGTGTATGCTCTATATGTAAATAGCTGTATCTCAAGGAATAAGCCTGTAAACTTGTCCATATGTTATAGATCTCATGTTTCTTCATTAACATATTTTTTCATTAAAGTTCTTAAATTAAATACAAAAGTATTAATAAAATTATAAATGTACTTGTCAATATTCCAGAATATACTTATTCTCATTTTAAAACAAACTTGTCAACAATAAAAAGATCCTAAAATCCCAAGAAAACAGTCAACATAAAATATTTTATTTTAGGAAACAAAAATCAAATGCCTATCGTGCTGTTAATATGTTTTAAAGATCAGGCCTAATTATTTTTATTGGGATTTTATTTGTATTGCTATTAGGAAGATAACAATCTAAAGTATATGAGCTTCAGCTACCCATAACCAGAACTATTTTCAGAGGGTTAATATTTTTCCTAAGTAAGTTGCCTTTATTGTGGCTCAGGAGATGCTATGAAACAGGTTGCACTGGATTATATGTTACCAGGTTTGGATAGGAATGGCATGCGATCGAGCACTATTACTGACCACCAAATGATTTTATTTTTTGACCACTTGACCACGATTGTTTATATGTTTTTTTATGATTTAAACATTGCAGAAATGCGCTGTATGTAGAAACCCTAAGCTAAACTTAAACTATGAAAAAAGTTTAAAAAAAAAAACCCTAACGAAAAAAGAAACGAAAAGAAAAATTCTTATATAAAAGAAATTATACAAGCACTAAAATAAAAATAAAAAATAAAAACTTAAACTCAAAGCGAAACCTTTTGTTAAGTTTTTAGCTACGTTTGAAATACTTACATTTGAAATAAACGTTATTTAAATTTATCTTTTTAAACGATTTATTAAAGTTACACAAAACGCCTTTAAATTAAATAACAAATTACTAATAATGATTGTTTAATAAACTAACAAATTTTATCAAATTAATTAAAAAGTGTATAATATTTTTAAATTGTGTAAACATTTATTTTTTCAAAAAAGTTGCAAAAAAAAATTGTTAAAAAATATAACGCAGTCTTTCTAAAATAGTAATTTTCAATAATTTCATGCTCTAATTAGTAAGTCTAGTTAAAAAAAACTTTTCAACTTTTTTATTCGTAAAAATAGGAAAAAAAATAAACAAATAAAATGAGCCTGCAATTTAAATAAAATAAACTGCCAACAAGCAATTTAACTTAATTTTTATTTTAGCATTAAAACTTTATTAATAAGTGCTTCACGAATTTAAAAATTAGTATAAAAGATTTAAACTCATTCATTCCTATCATAATTATATAATTATATATAAGATAAAAAGTTCTTTAACAAATAAAATGTTTGTTTAAAAGATTTTAAAAAATTGTAAGTTTAATTATGAAAATTATATGTGCCTATATAAAAAAAATTTATATATAGCATTTTTTATCAATTTACACATGCATTTGTGTAAACAATCATTATAATTAATTTTATGGTCTTGTTTAAACCCTTTGAGTAAAATAAAAACTTTAGAAAAGATCAACGATTAAAAGCTATTCATAACGTAACACTTTTTTTATTGCATTTAAATTGTTAAAATATCAAAATAGCCATGGTCAAGTTGTAAAGAAAAAAAAACATTAGCGTGGTCTGTTACAGAGTACGATCACATGCCATTCCTGTCCAAGCCTGTGTTACCAGTAGGGGGTGACCTGACCTGACCATAATTGATTGATTGATACAAAGTCAAACAAAATTTAAAAGTGTGTTTTAATTATTTATTAAACTGATAAATATTAAAAATTAAACTTAAAAGGATGACCTGACCTGACTGATTGTTGTAAAATGATAATCTAAAGCTTAAAAAGATAATCTATAACTTACACTGCAAAAATATCTTTTTCAAAAAGGACTTAGACTAGACATACTAGTACTTTTCTTTGCAAATATCCTAAAAATATAGTAGAAATAAAATTTTTTTTTAAAAAGTTCCATGAATTTTCAATGACTTTCAATGAAAATTTAGGAATTCCATAACTTTTTCCATGATCAAATAAAATTCCATTAAGCTTTATAATAAATACTTTCCCCATAACACCAGAAACAAAATCAACAACAAATCATCAAGCTCATACACTGTCAGGTGGCAGTTAAGTTGACATTGCTAATATTGACATTAATTATTAGGTTTGAAAGACTTCCTTCTACTTATGAATTACTGAAATTTTACCTCAAACAATTTCAGAAATTAACTAAAATTGTTCCTCAAACAATTTCAGTAATTTATCTTCAATTACTTCATATAAGTTAAAAATAAAAATAAGGTAAAAAATATTTCAAGAAACATTTTTCTTACTAACTGTAGTATAAAATTTTTCATAAAATACAATAAAAAACAAAAGGATGCCAATTTTTTACTTTTTTTGAATAAAGTAATGTGTTTTAAAATAAAAACTATTTTATTTAAATTTTTCCTTATTTTATATACTTTTTAAATTAAAAACAAATGTATTAATTAATGAAGTGAATGAGAATTAGCAAATTGAATATTTTTATTTTACGAACAAACCAACACTGCATTGCAAAATTTAAAATTATTTACTTATTATTATTGTATAAAGTTTTATTTATTTACTTTTGAATAGTTTCTTTTTTGTTGTTGTTGTTTTACTTGCTGTCATTTTTAGTTTCTTTTTATTATTCTTTTTTTAATATACAATTGCAATTAAACTTTATTTATCAAACATTTGTCTCAGAAGCATAAATAGTTTTTATTTACCTACAATCAACTTTTTACTTTATTGAGTAATCATATTATTTAGTTATTAGGTTTAAAACTCAATAAATTTCACTAATAATTATAGTTGTCGGTGGTTACACTGGAGTTTAAAAAACTTAAAAGTTAATATATCATAGTATAGAATCTAACTCAAACAGAACTAATAAGAAATTTTTTAGTAAAGTTATAAACATTTTAAAAAAAATTAAAAACAAGAAACTAAAAACTTATTAAAAATCTGAAAAGCCAAATTAACCAACACAAAAAACTATTTTTGCAATTCATTTTTTTAAGCACACAATTTTTTTTTTTTAATTTGATTATAATCGGTATAAGATGTATTTAAAAAAAAAATCATAAAACATATCCACTAGCCTTGTAGGTTTTTTAAGTTCTTTTTAAGTTCACATTAACAGCGATTTTATAGAAAATTTTATAAAACTCTACAAAAATATTTTTTCTACTACAATAAATTAATATAAACAATTTAGATATTTTTATATAGTTTTGAAATTTTTATACAAAATACTAAAACAATTTTATTAAAAATGGTAATTAAAAAGAGTGAACCTCCATTTTTGCTTTTATCCATTTCATACCTGTTGCAGCTAAAAGATAATGAATACCATTTTATGCAAAATAAATATATACTCATAAAGTATAAAACTTATAACGCTAATAATATTTTTAAAGAAAAGTAAATTTTTAAATGTAAGAAACTTACACCATATCACGATATCATACCATGGATAAACAGCTGCTAAAAATTCATGTAAATACGGACGCATTAATTGAAAACCATTTTCAGCTGATGAGCGGTGATCTATTGGTATAAAAAATATAAAAAGTAAAAACACTCAATTTTTTGAATCAAACTAAAAAAAAATGTTTTTTTTTTGATGAAATGACACTAAAAAAACAAAATGTTGTTGATTTGACAGTAAAAAAAAAAAAAAAAAAAAAAGGGTTCTACCAAATATTGTGTAGTCAATATCTAATACAAGCAATCGTTTTCCAGGTCTCGGAGGGTTTACTTCATATACTTTATATGAATCTACTCGTTTTTGAATTTTTGCAAGATACTCTGCTCTAATGTAATAACAATAAAACAATAATATTAAATAAAAAAAATTTTTATATTTTAAAACTTTACAATTTATTCATTCCATTTTTTACAATAACTCAATGTTAGACAAAGCTTGGTTTCCAATAGTTGTAGAAATATTAGTACAACAGTTATGTAATTTTGTTGTCCAACGGTTGCAGAAATCGATTTGTCTCCATTTCTTCTACAATTTTTAGACAACAATTGCACAACAATTTCGTACAAACAATTGCACAACAATTTTGTTTTACAAAAACACAACTTCACAACAATTGCACAACAATTTTATACAATTGCACAACAATTTAACACAACTTCACAACAATTGCACAACAATTTTATACAAACAATTGCACAACAATTTAACACAGCTTCACAACAATTGCACAACAATTTTATACAAACAATTACACAACAACTTTGCATTACAAATAAAACATAAGAGTAAGTTTCACAACTTAACATCAGTAATATACAATTTTTGTTGTACAACAGACATTAAGTTGCACAACTTATGCAGGAAAATGTTGTATTTGTTAAAACGAAATTGTTGTGCAACTGTTGCACAACATCTCTATAACAATAGGAAATTTTCTTTTCATTTTTTAACACAAAAACTACAACTACAGCATCAAGATTTTTTACATAAAAATTAACCTTTACAAAAAAAAAATGTTAGTAACTTTAAAGCACACTTTTATTTTATTTTAATTCTCCTACCCGAGGCCATGACGGCCACTACAGTCAAAGAGGCTACTTTAGTTGTAGTTGAACTCTCTCTCTATAACTTTTTAAATCTGAAACACGAACCTTAACAAACAAGGCCGCTCTGAAGAGAAACAAGTTAAGCGTGGTACTACCAGGGACGTGGCAGGGATCGAATATGGAACTTCTTGCTTATGAGGTGAGTGCTCTACCAGTATACCACTACCACATTTTGTATACTAGACACAGTTGCTGTCTACATTTTTTATGACTACTCATTTTATTCTCCCAGGGTAAATACAACCACTATAATTACTACCCTTTTGTTCACTATTGACCAATTAAAGCTCAAACTAAAACTTTTTGATTTCCTTTCCATCAAAAGAACAACACCAACAACAACCCATCCATTCTTTGTCATTCTTTTTTCTAATAAAATTATAGTTTCCAGTTTACACAATGACTAAAAAATTTTTAAACATCAAAATTTTTCAAAAATTTTATTTAATATTATACTTTATAGAATATTATAGATAAATATTTGTTTATACAAATCAAACCTATTTTGTATAAGAACTTCTTCTTCCTCAATATCAAAGTCATCAATGACATTTGTTTCTGTTACTTCTATCGGAGGAGATATTATAGTTGACTGAAAAATAGAAGGACTAAAAAAATCTGTGAAAAAATAAATTTACCTTTATCTCTAACTTGAAAAAAACTAAATTAATTAAATTCTAAAAAAAAGACCAAATCAATTTTTAACTTCTAACTTTAATAATAAAAAAGCTCATAAATCTCACTTAATTTAAATACTGCATGGGTTAATATAATAAAGGCCTTAATCAAAGATACAATTTCTATAGTCCTTTCAACAAGTAAAGTATATCTAAATAAAATGTATCTATTATATTAATTTTAAAAATATTAATTTTAAAAATATTAATTTTAAAAATATTATTTATAAAATAATAGAAGCAAAATTAAAATACTCAATTATAAAAATAATGTAAAATAAAATATAATAAAATAATAAAAAGGATGTATTTATAAAAATAAATGACTAAATATAATACTTTGTTAAGATAAAAATAATAACCAGTAAATATCAAAAATGGGAAACTAAAAACTAATTCTTGGAAACTTGCTGATTGTCTAATAAAATTCATAAACCTAACAAGCATCAAAATGACATGATATCATAATATCATTATACATTTTGATAACAGAAATACAAAGCATAATTATTTTATAATTATGCTTTGTGGCACCAGGTTTAAGTTTCTAATAAAAGTTTATTCTGATATTGTAATCTGTCTGATATAATCACTAAGTCAGGAGATATAATCACTAAGTCAGGAGAAAACTAGTTGCTTCAGCTGGTTTTTATTATATACCAATTAGACATTTAATGGTATTGATGTGTTTATAACTAAACCAAGTTTGCTATCTTAATGGTATTGATGTGTTTATAACTAAACCAAGTTTGCTATCGTAAAGTTAAATTTTTTATTATATTGTAAATAAAGGTTACTAATAATAAAATGATTCACGAGAACCATTTAAAAAGGAAAGAAAGCGTAAAAGAAGGGAGTGAGGAAAAAGGGAGGCGATAAGTTTGCCCTAATTTCTTATAACAGATTAGTCCTTCGTTAGTAGATGCCAAAAGAAAATAGATTTTTTTCTGCGTATTTTTACCTCAGTTTTACATTTTTCTAAATTATGAAAATATAAAAAATGAAATCTAAATTATTATCTAAGATCAGTTTATTATCTAAGATCAGTTAATAATGTTGACAATAGTATTTAATAACAATGAAAAACAAATTTTAACCTTTACTAGTAATATAATAAACGAAAACATTAAGTTAAAAAATTTTAATTCTTTTTAATAATATAATTTTTTTTTTAATAAATTTGAACTGAATAAACAATTAAACTCTTTCAACATTTTTAAACAACAGTGAAATCTTTTGTTGCAATGCTTGATAAGATTATCATTTCATATAATGTCATGGCATTTGAATTATTTTGACATTATATCATGATATTATGTCATGAAATTTAATAACAAATAACTTTGATAGCTCGTTTTTATTAGATAATCACAAAAGAAACTTTAATACAAAAATTGTTCTTTTATTTTATACAACAATTCATACAATATTTTAAAATCATTGAGTGACAATTAACTTAAATTGGTTCAAATAATATAAATAATAATTATAATAATAATAATAATAATTTAATTTAAAAGCATCATCATCATAAATATTAAAATGAACTAAATTTTTATTATTTGTTTTAAAAAAATTATTATTTATTAGCTAATTTTTGTAAGAACAAGGCAGCCAGTATAAGGTACTGTCAGAATATAGTGAAATTTTAGATTTTTGAAAAATGTTTAAAAATTTAGTTATTGCCACCTTTAAATTTACTTTTTTTGCAAGGTAAGAAGTTACCCATAGCTTTTGTAATTAATATCAAATGTAACTTAATCGCTTTCTCTGAAAAATAAGAAAAAGTTGCTTGACACTGTGTGGTTAGCTAATTATCATAGTTTAAAAGTAAAAAATCATTCAGTTTTGCCAATTTTTAGTGGGAGTTATTTTTTGCAGCAAAGAGTTGCACAAAATTTTTCTTGCAAAGTTTAAAAGTATCTTAGGTATTGAATACAAGCTTGAGGAGCCGAACCAGAGCTGCTATTTTTTGGTGAAACCAGAGCCGCAAAAATTGAGCAGCTCATAACTCTCGTGTTTTTTTAAAGGAATAGATGTAAGTTTTTTTAAAGTAGACAAATATTTATTTATTGTTCAACTAATTTGTTGAATGAATTATTTATTGAATTTCTATTTTTATCAGCTTTATTAACAGTTTTGCCAAAACATAATAAAAATGTATATATTTACAATTTTGTATTCAACAAAATACTATCAAATATCTAAAAATTATAATAGAATTAATTTTATTAAGCTGTTTTGTTTACTTGTGAAAAAGTTTCTTTATAAATTTTTTTTGATTAGTCAGTGATTGGTAAACAGAAATTTATCTTAGTTTTATATCAAATCACATGATGTGTTTTAACATTTTTAATTAGTTAAAATATTTCAAATTTCTCTGAACCTCTAAATAAATTGACTTATTACCAAGTCACAATTACATAATTTGAACACATGAAATCTGTTTTTATTTTAAATGAAAAATTAAAAAAATATAATTTTAAAAGTTGTAAAGTTAATAATATGTAAAAATCAATGTATATATACCCAAAAAAAATTTTCTTTTTAAATGTTTTTGCGGTAGTAGAGTAGTGCGAGTAATACATTCACCTCGTAATCATGAAAATTGATTAAAAATTATTTACTGAAATTGGTTTGGATTTGGGCAGGCAAATGTGATCAAAAATTTTTTTTTTTTTAATTACAATTTTTGATCTTAAAATGGGGGAGTTAGAGCAGAGCCAGATATTTCTTAGGAGTTGGAGCAGAGCTGTAAAAAAAACCTTTACCTCCACAAGCCTGATTGAATATAAAAATGCAAAAAAAAAATTATGTGATAACTAAAGCCAATCCAAATATATATATATATATATATATATATATATATATATATATATATATATATATATATATATATATATATATATATATATATATATATATATTTAAAATTGAAAAAAATTGAGGTTCACACAGTTGAGGGATTTGGATTGGTTTCCGATCTGCACCACGATTAAATTTTTATTTCTATTCCATGTCCTGCTGCCTTGTGCGATTCGCTTTCTAAGCAAAGGTTGGAAAGAGTTTACTTACTATCATAATTACTAATTCAAAATCAGTCATGCCTATAGTAATATATACATATATATTTATTATTATTTTGTGTGTCTTTTATATAGTTGGAGGTGCCTTAGTTATTGTTTTAGCTCACCTCTAATCTACTTTAGTTGTAACCTGTAATATGCTACCTGTATGTTTGTGTTCTGTCTGTTTATGTTAATATTAATGTTTATGTTCTGTCTGAAACTCTAGCACGGTGTTTCTCACTAGTAAGTTACATTATATATGCATGTGTTCTGTTTATATGTTTATATCTGTTTTGATATTGTGTGAATTCAAATTAACTAACTAGACACTCTAACTATAAAACCTACTAAAACTATAAAACCTGCCAGAAAACAAACAATAAAACCTGCTTTAGTATTTTGTTAGATGTAATATTTTACCAAATGCATTTGCAAAATATCATGCCCAATGTTTTAAGATGCTGTTTGCAGGAAGTACCTCCTCTTAATTACTGGAGGTCAAGTCAGGTTCAGAATCATAACGATCAGAATCATAACAACCACCCTGCTACTGGTATTATGTAACCCAGTACTATCTGGCCTATGCCCTGCTGCCTTGTAGAGTGTGCTTTTTAAGGCAAAGGCTAGGAGAAACCATCTCCAACTTAAAAATCTCTTGCCTTGGTGCTCTTGGTTTATTAAAGGCTAGAGATTGTCTCAATAAAAATACTCATCTTGGGCAGATTGTTAACTGCATCCAGCTATAATTTTCTAGGTTGAGTAAAAGCTACAGATGGTGTCTCCATAAAAATACTCATCTTGGGCAAATGTTTACTGAATCCAGTTATAATTCCAGCTGCCTTGGGGGTTATTGGTTAAGTAAAGGCTTGAGATAATGTCTCAATAATAATACTACCTTGGGCAGACTGTTGAAGAGGCACATAAGGAGCCCTATGTTATGACATAGTGTTAATTAACAGGACTGAGAAAAGTGCATAGCTCATTGCTTAGAAAGCTCTATCTATGAATGAGTCAAGTTCTCTTTAAACTTAAATCATGCTAAAAGCAACACAAAATAAAAAACTTAAAAAACCATCCCCACCATCTAATTGTTTTAATATATCTTTTATTAATGTTTGTGGTCTGTAAAGCAACCTTCCATCAATTGAATCTTACCTATTGCTAAATTCACCAGATTTGCTTGGTCATAGTGACATAGTTGATGCATACTACCCTTTGATTTGCGAAGACTCTAATAGTCATATGCTTGGCTTGGGGATATACATACATATCAATTCACCTATTTGTCATGAAATAAGGCACTATGACACTAAAGCCTATAACTTCTGCATTTTTTAATCTCTTACTCAGATAGTTAACTTTGTGACTCATTTTCCTGACAACCCTAAACATTTACCTTTACTCTTTGATTTATGTCAGATCTCTGATCCTAGCTTGTGCTTAATTTCTCTTTTTCCTCCTTTAGGTGGTTCTGACAATGCAATGATCTCTTTATATATTTTATCTCGTACTTCCTTTTCAGACTCACCCTTTTTTTCATGGCGGTCCTTGGGCTGATGTCTTTTCCCTCTCAGCTGAAAAATGCACCTCTAATGTAACCCCATGGATTCAGGCAGGAATGGATGCTTTTATTCCTTCTTGTCAGTTCAAGTCAAGCCACATTCTACTCTATAGAATAACTCTCTCAAGAACAAACAGCCATTTATTATTGCAAGAAATCAATGTAAAAAGGTGTTGTCAGATGCTAAGCTCCATTACACTAAAAATCTTGTATCTTATCTTAGAAATTAGGCTCCAAAGACTTTTAGAAATTCTTCAATAGCATTGTTAACAAAGGTAGATCTAAG